TGTGGGCCACATTGTTGAGTGTTTCACAAAGTAATCAATTCGTATTCAGCACGCGACTGCTCCGGTTGATTCCTGATCAAAGGAAATATAAACATTGATAATGCACGTTCACGCGGGGCGCCCGTGGCCGTTATCGTACCAACGAACAATCGACCAATTGTCACATCTAGATCTTTGTGGATTAATCATTAAAATTTAACAATCAAGCGTGAACGCCATGAATGTGATCGCTCATCGTTTAGATTATTGTTATAGTTTGTATCAAAGCTTTCTCAGAATTGAAACTGCGGCACGCGTTTAGTCGGTAAGTATTTACAAATCATACAATGTTTTGTTGGGAATAAAGAAAAAATGCAATTATTTACCAAAAATAAATAAGTCTTAAAATAACAAAAAAATCCATAACAATAATAATAATTTTGGTGACATTGTTAGTTTGTTGAATACAAGGACCCTTGCGACCGAAAGTGATGCGTCTACTAGCGAGGTGCGGGTACTTACCAAAACCATAATGGACCCTTTTCAGTACCACACCATTTGTCATACAGTAGTGTGACCCAGTAACCTTTGGTTTTTGCAATTGAATCTATTCGAAGGTACTACCGTTAAATATATGTTGTAGTAAAGTAACTACAGTTAAAAGTCGTGCTCAAGATATTGATTGCTTAACGCTGCCGAAAACATTGATATTACTGACTCCGGTCACGTGGTGGAGGGGGGGGGGGATTAATAAGAGCAAACATACCGCACATTGTTTGTCCGGCCCATATCCTGTACTCAGGCTGCGTGACGTGTTGTGTTTCTGTATTACATGATGAGTACTTATTTATTCACGATGGTGCTACAATGTGTGCGTGCGATGTCACAGTCGTACCAGCATTAACAGAGACAGCTCCTGGTTGGCCTCCAAACACCAACTCCTTTTTGTTTTTATTATTGCCATATATTTGTATAGGGTCAATTAACGCTATCTGATTTAATTTGATTTTTTTAATAATAAAAATGTGGCCCCTGAAGACAAATAAACGTATATGTAAAAAAATACAAATATAGCATTATGAATACAGTAATGATTATATTATGAATAATATACGTGAGTTTAGGAGAAACAGCTAGTGGATGGAAACTATTTATTTATGCGTCGTAGCACTGGTTTTGTGCAAGTTATGGTTTGTGAGACACCACTTTCGCATCATAAGTATAACATAATGTGATGCATAGTGCTTAAAGCATAATAGAGTACCTACATCTTCATTTGCTATCAAAGGAAGAAGTTGAAACTGTAAACGCTACTGACTCCAGAAGCTGCCAATTGCTGATTTCACAATCAATAAATTTAAGACGTTCAACATCTAAGGCTTGTTGCGATCGACGATCATGTGACATCTAAGAAATGTCATTTGTCAACACTTGAGAAAAAAACCGGTCGACGGATTGTGAAAGATCGCGTATACGAAACTCATTTTTAAGAATTCTAATATAGGTGAACCCACCACCCTGAATTACCAACATTAGTCAAGGTAATTAAAATAAATTAAATATTAATCGTCTTATCATACAAGCTAACAACAATAATATAAAGTATCCGATGTTTATCCGTGTAATGTGGTGTTTGTCATAAGTTTGATTCGAGCAGCGGCACCGATGTGTGACGTCTGCACTTTTATTATTAGTTAGTTTTGCAATTACTTGGAAAGTATTATTACTGCTCTGTTTTTATATAAACTTTACCTAATAACATATCATTATTATTTTTTTAACACCATGTTCTATTTCTTTATGTATATTATTGAAATTTTCTTAAGTTTGATGGAAGAAGTGTTAACTATTACAACAACCCACGCCATTACCATAATAATATACACCCACGTTAATGTACAAATGGACCTCTTTTTACCAACACCAATGCCGAATGTAAATCAAATATAACAAATCTTGATAAGTATAAGTGTGTAATTTAAATAAAAAAATCGAAATTTATTCCAAATTTAGACTCATAATAATAAAATATTTAAAATCAAATATGTGTGTATATTTCAGCTTAACGAATTTATTGGTGCAATCTATACTTATAATAAATCTGTAGAGAGGTCAATTCTGTACATGAAATATATTTCCAAAATAACTATCAGGGGGTGATTAGGGATCGATACTGATGCCAAAAATGCAATCAGTAAAATTTTTGTCTAACAAAAACTAGTCGACGGATTTTAACGAAACTTGGTACAATTATTTTTGATACTCCAGAGCTGGTTATAGTATACTTTTCATCACGCTACAATCAATAGGGGCAGAGCAGTGAGAAATGTTGGGAAAACGGGAGAAGTTACTCCATTTTTTAAGCTTCCGTCGCGTGAGCAACCTTAATGGTTAAAGCTACCCAGAAATCATGTATGACGGAAATGTTCTCCTTAAAATAATTTAAAAAATATTCCACGACAGCATATGTCTATCTTTTATGGTTGACTCACAATAACACGTGTAACTCCCGATAGCTTAGCAGTTCGAAGCTTTCTGATTGTATTTGTCTATTGTCTACTCTTACGTTTGTAACACCATCAGTCATCCCTAATTAAAAAAGTTAACAGTATTAAGTATTCCATAAAAAAGAATTATAGAAATCGGTATAGAAATACCAAAGTTATACATGAAATACGCTAATAATAAGCCATCGCGCGTGAATACTGAAACATGCTAGAAGGATTGTTCTGGCCAGTATTTCATCTATACTAATATTATAAAGCTGAAGAGTTTGTTTGTTCGAACGCGCTAATCTCAGGAACTACTGGTGCGAATTGAAAAATTCTTTTTGTGTTGAATAGACCATTTATTGAGGAAGGCCCGAACGAAGTTAGGTATATTTTTCGTAACAAGCCAATGATTGTTAAACTTTAGAGGGACCCTTCGGGTGTAGGCCTCCGTCAATTTACGCCATTTGTATCGATCTTGTGCAACCTGCATCCACTTTTTCCAGTGTTTAGGCGGCCAAGCAAAAACTTATTCCAATTAAAACGTCACAACTCTAATCTTTGCTCTCAGTTATAGAAAGTCGTCTAATTTTTTCTATTTGATTAACCATCTAGTACAGTAATGCTTAATGTTCTTGCTACATTTATTTCATTTGAAAACTAATCCTTGACAAAAACATCACAATGAATAATGAAGTTAATGCCATCTAGTATAATATAATATTAAAAGTTTTTTTTATATTTATTATATATGTATTTGATATTTAAAAAAATATATTTATTGTAAAATGTAATTTTATTATTAATTATTCCTATGTGTGCTCAAATACCAATATTCATGATTATTATTTATAAAAATCTTTATAAATAGTATCAAATGGATTTATTACATTGATGACTAATCAAATAGTAAACAACGGTTGCTATGGTAACATTTTGTTTCCCCATATTAACTTCCACTTCTATTTCGTCCCTTTAAGTACTGGTTTTTGAGAAAAAATATAAACTATTGCCTTCACTGGGTATTAAACTAATCAAATATAAATTTTCATCGTTTTAGATCCAACTTTTGGTTAGATCCAAATTGATGGTGCTGGCGCAGCGCCAGCGCGGAGCGGGCCGGCGGCGGCGCCCCGGCAGTGAGCGGTCGGTGATGCAAATTTTAAACGAGTATAGCGCCCCCAGCGTTCTACTCACGACCCACCCTGCCTGCCCTGATCCATAGTACGAGCTTTGAATATAATGTACTCCGACGCTCGAGGACTAGGAAATGTGAACCTGTAGTATTCAACTACGTGATAAGAGGCGAACAGCTCGGAAGACAGGCTAGCATACACAATCTTGGCGTGCTTCACAGTTCGCGACTGATTATCGATGTCCATATCAACAGTATTGTCGCTAAAGCATACAAGGCATTAGGCTTTATCAAACGGGTACCTCGTGATTTTAAGCAAGCTTAGACTTTAAAAATCCTTTATTGCACATATGTACGCAGTCATCTTGAATACGCATCGCAAGTTTGGAACCCTAGATACTCAACCTACATTTCCAGATTGGAAAATATTCAGATTATTATTTACGTTATCTATGTTCCCGTTTGTCTAGGCCATTTTCCTCATCTGATTACCAGCTCCACTGCAAGAAGTATCATCTCATATCGTTAGGGCAAGGACGTTTAATTGCTGATCTTTGCTTCCTGCTTAAGATCACATCCAATATCGTCTATTGTCCTCAATTGTTAGGTTCGATTTCTATTATACCACCTTATATAATCTTAAGATCGAATGCGCTTATTTATCTTCCTACTACAGGCAAAATTCCTTTATGTGGGGTGCATGTAACAGTTTAAATTAAATATGTATGGAATTCGATTTCAACCTATTTAGTACTGGTTTTTAGAAAACAAGGCGTGTATTGGTGGATAGTTTGTTTAGTTTGATAATGATCGAAAGGGATTCAATGAATGTGATCCCAATATATTATGTGTATCATGTGAGTCGATTTTTTTGTTTACCAGTTTGTAAGCCATCTGTGAGGGCCTGTAAGTGGCTTCATATAGTCTATTTAATAGCTATGTATTTGTTTAAACTCTTGGTCTTCCCAAAATAAATAAATAAATTTGTCACCTACGTCATGATGATCGCATTTCAAACTAATCGCCTATTTTTTATTTCAAATAGAATTAAAGTACAAAGGTACTTTTAAAAATAACAAATATAATAATATTTATTAATTGGCTTGATAGAAGAAAAAAAAAAAGATTTTACGGTCTGTGATTAAAAATCTAGGAAATCAAGCGAGTAAATACAAAGTAAGTGTGTATTTATTCTCGATGCGTATTTGTATGGGAACGTAAGCGGAGCGAGGTACACGAGGGCTTTAAGGGAAAAACACAATATAGTTACTTGTAAAGAAAATACTTTTATCTTTACGATTACGATTTCACTTGATTAAAAACTATGAGTGATGAACGGCACATTACAGAAAAAAATTACAATACAAAACGTATTCATCACGCCCAAACTACGCTACTCATTGTGGACGCGACACATTTTTCATTTTGGTAAGTTCGAACATGTAAGTGGTATCGGTGGACGTGTCGGTGGTGGTGGCTTGGAGCGGGTCGAGACAGAGCATGTGGTCGCGGAGGTCGGCCCAGCCGCCGTCGCCGCGGGGGGGCGGGTGCCACTCGCGCCGCAGCCGCCCCGCGCTACCGAACATCACCACCGCGCGCACCGCCCGAGGGAACATGCCGCGGCGCGGCGCCCTCGACAACCGAGCCGCCGCCGCCCACCCGCTCGGGAAATCACGTGTCGCGTGTACGCGAGCAACAACCGTCGCCACCATATCTGAGTAACCTCGCGGAAACTGCCCGAACAGATTCATCAACGAGTAACTCCAGCTCGAATCGTCGTAAAAGCAGAAGTGCGACGCCAGGGCGACGATCTTTAGCCACGCCGTGCGGTTGAACGTCAGACCCCTGTCGTAAGGCGGTCGCCACGTATCCACCGTTAGCAGGTCGTAATCGAGCCCCCTCGCCCATAGCCGACCGAAAGAGATCACGTCCACAGATGTAAAGTATTTGAGCGCTTGCCGCGCGTACTTGAGTATGTACAATATGTCAGGGAGCACGTAATCGTCTTCTTCCAGGAAAGTAACCATGCCGCGATGGCTTTCCGACCAGTCGAAGCTGTGAAAAACAAAGTGCGCCTTCCACCACCAATGGTGTTTACGCTCGGCGCGGAGTGCGTCCCGGCCGACGCACGTCACACTGCCATTGCAGTCTTCCGAGTCCGCGCCAGGGAATTTGTCAGGGTTCAGTTGCATGGAATAGGGATAGAAGATCTGCATTACTTTGGCAAACCTTATACTGCGAATTAATTTGTTTATTTTATCATCGTAGTAGCTATGGGAAAATATAAGCATAGCATTTTTGATGTATCTGACTTGACCGAGAGAGACGATTAAGTATTGGAGTCGTTCTATATCTTTGTGCACTTGAATGAGAAAAATGTCGGTGTCGTCGCGGAGGCGGCCGCAGCGGTTCCAGTTGAAGATTTCCGCATCATGATTGAGGCGTTCTATACGCGTAGCGAGTTGATCTAGTTGATGCTGGTTACGAATTACTGGTCTTATCGTGTAACCTTCTCGGAACCTAATGAAACTACGTAACGTCCGCGGCACGAGCGGTTCCTCGGGATCTTGACACCACACCTGCCACGCGATAAACACAAGCGCCAACGCAAGCAGAGCGGCTAAAAATTGTTTAAATTTTAACCTCGGCCATTTAAATAAATTTTTCAATTTTGTGATTGCTTGCTTTAACGAAATAAACATAACGAAATTGAAAAAAGCTGTATTTACAGTTATACCGTTGACATTCTGTCGGCGAGTAAACCAGTAAACATTACTCATTGTTTTAAATTCTCTTTTATCGTCAAAGACAATAGAAAAAAAATATGTGAAATAAGAATATTAAATATCATTAAAATACCAGGTTTCTCATCATGTTTGACATCGTCGTCATCTTTAATTCATTTCATTTTCATTTTATATGTAGAAATTTATTCACTTGACATTGGCAGAATTGTGCGAAATGCGCAGATAAGCCATTATTAAAGGAAGAAGAAGAAGATTAAAATACCAATCATGTACCACTTTATACTTTACTCTATGGCATTGTATGGATCAGGGTTGTTGCAAATATCAGCATCAGCATCCACATCAGCAACAATTGGTGCTTATTTTAATGCTGACATTCAAGTCGTAACATGTTCTTTGAAGGCAAGAGCGAGCGCAACTGCCGTGAACTTGTGAAGTTTAAAAAAACAAGTTAACTCATGCTCGCTCATTAGCTTCTATCAACCTAATTTGCTTGAGGCTGTCATAGTCAATTGCTATATACTACCTGTTCTCCCGCAACTTGGTTAGGCATTAATTGGTAACTTGACTGTTTTGGGCAAAGTATTTTAAAACTTTCGCTATTTTCATTAATTTATTTAAATATCCCGTGTAAAAACAGTGATATTTCGAGCTGTGACGTTACATTTCAATAAACATGAATATGTTATACTCGTAACAAAGTTATTAATCTTTTGGATATTGAAATGTGACACCACACACAAGATGTACCGTCATGGCCGCCGGCGGCGTTTCGATTCTCGTACTGCACCGATTCGAATGGCTAAAATTTACTTTGCAAAAACGAAATATACTTAAAATTAATTTAAAACAAAAAATACCACATAATTTTTATTTACACGTTTTATAATTTTTTCATACCATTACCATATTTAAAACTGTAAAGTAACCAATTATAGGTCATGTCACCCGCGTGTGTTGTAGCTTCTCGTAGATTTATTAATATCATCAGCATCCACATCAGCATCCGCTGATACAGTTATATAGAACCCGCATCAGCAACAACCCTGGTATGGATATTTAATATGCACGACAGACAAAAAATTAATTAACTTAATAAGAAGAAATTGTTTAACTCAATGGCATATTCATTTGTACGAAAATTACTACTGAACATAATGTACGGTACATACCTAAATCTTTAAAAGCATTGTAGGCGTAGAATCCTAATCCAACATTATCATTAGTTTAACTGTGCCAGACCTATTATACATCATAACATTTCCACAAGTCCCTGGAGCAGCTCAATAGTTGGTTCATGCATGAACCGATGCCGAAAGCTTTCGATTTATATGGAAGACACGATATAACTTTTTCAGTGCAGCACACTCGAGCCACTGTCCCCTACGACCTGTACTATGATATATACCACAGAACACAGAAGAGAGATTTCAGTGTTCAGTGATGCAAACTATGTTACATATTGACAAAACCGGCCAAGAGCGAGTTGGCCTTGCGCCCATCAAAAACATATGGGGTGGGCCCCCTTGTTTTTTTATATATTTATGTTTTTTTTATGATTTGTGGTTATAGCGGCATCTATGTAAATTTCAACCATCTAACTATCGCTATTCATGAGACAGTGGGTGGACAGTGACGAGCATTAGTGGTGACGTACTGAATGATGGACGGACAGCGGAGTCTTAGTAATAGTTCCGTTTTTTACCCTCTGGGTACGGAATCCTAAAAAACAACACTGCAACCATAGCAACGTAACCAGTACGTGACTGCGCGCTGTCACTGCGGGCGGGGGGGATCAGACTCACTCGCTTCGTCCCCTCCACTTTTGTCGAGAATTCAATTTAACTAAGTATATCGCTTAAGTATTTTCTTGTATTATGGGCTTACGATTTGCTCTCATTTTTTATGAGTCTAATATAAAGTTAAGATAGGAGGCTCGCTTACGATCCGCTCGCATATAATGGATAAATAAATAATCCTACGTCAGTATAAGCATAGGTAAAGCTCTCAATAAGAATTTTGTAGTATAAATTAGAGTCTTAAGAGTACCTAAGTAATAGTAGTAATTTTAAAATAGAAAGGTAGTATCTCAATTATTTCATACTAGCTGTGCCCGCGACTTTGTCCGCGTGGAAAGTATCCTAAGTTACTCCTTATTACATAAGCTAACGGCCAGTGAAAGTCCCGTTAAAATCGGTCCAGCCGTTTCAGAGATTAGCTGAAAAAAGCAGATAGACAAAAATATAAAAAACATCTTTTGGTATATATGCTTTGATATGTGCATTTAGTAAAAAGCAGTTATTTTTACCATTACATACAGACACTCCATTGTTATTTATTTGTATAGATTAAGCGATACAAAACATAATAGGTGGGTGCAGTCGACGACAAAAATTTGGACATAAGGTATTTTCAAATTAATAATCAACTATTTCAACCAAAGCGGTATCCTAGATACTGGACACGTTAATTCGCGTGAGGTGAACCATAGTGGGTTTTATCAGGGAGGCCAGTCACCTCCCCTGCCCTTGTCTGGGCGGAGTGCTAGGGGAGCCCTGATTTGAGGTTTACGGTTGCATTTTCCCTGCGTTATCAAAAAAAATCTGTCTTGGGTTGTCACCCCTGAGCTTACTTCAGGTCTCTTGAAATACAATAAACTGCCTGCCTTTGTATAATATATCTGTATAAAGAACATACAATTAAGACGACGAAAATATAAATACTTACTATTTTATATAATATGCAGGAGATATTATATAAAATAGTAAGTAATTATATAAAGTGATTAAATAAAATCTTGAACAAAAACTTTTTCGGCTACCTTCCCGACGTGTAAAGTTGAGGATGAAAATATTTGGTGGATAAGTCCTTCCAAAATATTAGAAGTGTGGGAAGACAGTTATTCTATTTAGGTTGTTTGCGAAAAATGAAAAATAATGTACTAAACTGTCGATAATTATGAATTACAAAAATCAAAAAATAATTGATATTAGCTATTAATAATAGGAAACGGTTTTATCTAAAATAGCAATTAAAATTCAAATTGGGCGAAAAAATATTCAGTGGATGAAAAAATATTCATTCGATACCTACAAAGCAAAATATCCGTTGGTAAAAATTACTATCGCGTCACGCACTAAAATCTCTGAAAATACTGAACGGAGAAAGCAAGAAAAAGTTGCTATGAGGATCAGGCTGTTTTAAACCCTCAATTGAAAGCCTTTATTTGAAAGTGCAGAACGAGCACAGTAGTTAAATATCTAATTCCAAGAAAAATGACGATATCATTATTAAAGACTTCCATATAAGGAAGGACTATTATTTCAAAGAAAATATTTGTTGTATTTTTTGCAAGGTGTGTCGATTCTACTGCGCACTAAAATGGAAAGAAGAGCCACTGGACTATTCTATGAAGACATGCACGTTATCCATCTAATGGGCAGGCCTATGCCCCAGCAGTGACGACGCTGATAAGCTAATGACGATAGTACAAAGGTGGATGCTTACTGGCAAATTTTTGATTAAGATTATCTTAAGACTCCAGTATAACAGGCCAATTTGCAGACAGTACCCTCGGACCGCGTGAGCGAAACCGGGGGTTACAGCTAGTTAAAAATATATTTCAATCCAGTTTATTTTTAGTTATTCCTATTCAAATTATGATTTAGGTTTAATTTAAAATAAAATAAGTCATTTATTTCAGTTTTTTTGTATTATAAATCTTAATCAGATGACAGATCTCGCAGTTTATCTACTTGTCCCCCCCCCCCTGTAATTCGCACCCAGCGACAAACAAATTTTGGTCTGAGGTAGTAGCAAACCACATGAAACAGAAAAACTGAAAAAGAAAGTTGAACTACTTGTCAGATTTAAAAAATTTGTTGGAACTAAAGGATATTATACCGTTAAGCATTATCTAAATGTCAAAAATCAAAATCAAACTTGTTTATTCAGTTTAGGCTTTTACGGAGCACTTGTGAAAGTCGAAAACTACGCCATCGGTTCGCAAAACTACGACGGGAGACCTTGTACTGAGAAGAACCGGCAAGAAACTCAGCAAGGGCTGTTGCTTTCTCCCTGTTTTATTTCACAAAGAGAAGTCTTATTGAAAAGTGACTTCATTAGAATATGAAGTCACTTTCCATTACAATATTAGAAAGTTAAATACAATAAAGTTAAAATATCTAACGGTTTTTGTCATTTAGATATTGCTTAACGGTATAATATCCTTTACTTTGTAGACAATATTATACGACTTTTAAAATGAATTATTGGAAAATCTTATACATCACTGAGGATCTTGTTAAAGTACTGTATACCTTGACCCATGAAAGAACCTAATACCTTCTGTAACCTGTAAGAAGGCGTTACTAGTTTGTTTTTATTTTATAGTGTTGTTTGTGTACATACGTAGCGACATCGGACACATAGCACTAACATCAACACAACAATCGATAGCAAGACAAACTGCAAGAAGTTTCAACGCACAGTAAAGAGATGGTATTGTACAGCTACAAACATTGTACAATGTCTTTTGGAACAAAGGAAACCTATATCGCCCACAATAAGTTTCATAAGCAATGAGGAAGCATTAAAAAAAAAATGTTCCCAAAATCAAACTAGATGTCGCTATGGTACTTTCTTGATTCTCCATGACAACCCTTCCGGTTTTCTTTCATGTATAGAAGTAAATTAGTTTTCAAAACTCAATAAACAACTCAAATTCCATTTGTACTGTTTCATATTTGTATTGATATCTAAGTTTCGAACTTTACAAATTTCACTATCAAAAATCACTATCTTTGGACCATTGATTTCCTGCAAAAAACAACGGAGGTGCTTTTTAGTGCTTTCTTTTGTTTTATACTTCCTCATTCACATATAAATAGAACGTACATCCTAATTAACAACACCCAGTTCGGATGGAGACAATTACCCTTCAGTCTCCCTTACAA